TAATACGCTATATATACCTGAAAAAAGAGTTGTGACGAGGAGAAGGCTAAAGAGCTGGAGCTTATATTTGGCCATTAATGAGTCGGTAAATGCTTACAAGATCAAGATTCAAGAGAGCCGATGGTTAAATAGCAATTGTTAAGAGATCTTAAGTAGTAGTAATATTATTATTTAGTGAAGGTTGTACATCTTAATTACTCCCTAATCCCCAGCTTTTATAGGGCACAGTTGATGATGCATGGGTTGGGTGTTGGGGTAAAATTGTAAAAATGTATATATATTGACAAATGTAAGATTATGTTGAAAAACCATACGTCCACTTTTTGACTACCAAAAATAAAAGACATGAGACATAATCTCATAAAAATCCCACCTACCACCCACATAATAATTCAAAAGCGTGCTTATTATTTGTCTTTTGTGTTAAATAACCTTTTTACTAATTAACGCGAATCTCGTGCGATGCACAATAAGAGATATTAATTAGTATTCATAAATTAAAATATAGGACTAGTATGTAATAAAATTTACTTATGTTAATTTATTTAAAATGTTATATTAAATTTAAATTGTGCAAAATTACATAAAACATGTCTATTTAAAATTAGTACACAACTTGTACGGTGCATATAACTGATAATAAATTACATTATATTCATTTCAAAATAATTATTTTAAAATTTTTATTTAGAAATTCAATTTGAATACAATGTGGTTCAATATAATAATTATTTTGATAAAAATTTATCACATATTTAAAAATCCATAAGAATAATAAGTATAATATTAAAATTTATATTGTTTTATTATTTAAAATAATTTTTTTATATAAACTATCCAAATAAAAGAATTAAGTAGTTAAGTAATTTATTAAATTGTAAATAATTGACTATTCTATTTACGTCCAACTTAATATTGACACGTAAGTTATGAATAATTATTTATTTGCATTTTTAAATTTGGAATCCAATTTTGGACTAAATAATAAATCCCATTATATACTTTATATATATCTATATTTTACTAGTCTCGAAATTTTATGTAGTTTTGGACTAAATTATTTATTCGGTTTTTCCACATGAAGGTGGCGTCAGGATATTCGGTTTTTCGAGATGATAGACAGCAGGGTTGAATTTTAAATTTTAAACTGCGGGGCGACAGGAGGAGGTGGTAAAAAAGATTTATCTTTGAGTGAAAAAAGTTCGAACATGGTGATCGAAAAATAGAAGACTTAAAGTTCAAATTTTAAAATTCAAGACATCGGGGAGTGGTAATGTGGTTTTCAACCTGAGGTGGCGTCAGGTCATTTAGTATTCGATCTCAGTGGCAGGTCATTCTGTATTCGACCTCAATGGCAGGTCTTTCAGTTTTCGACCTTAGTGGTCATTCGGTTTTCAACCTCTGTGGCAGGTCTTTCGGTTTTCAACCTCAGTGGTCATTCGATTTTTGGTGTTCAACCTCAGTATGGTAGGTCATTCGGTTCTCGATCTCAGTGGCAGGTCATTCGGTTCTCGACCTTAGAGGCAGGTTATTCGATTTTCAACCTCATTGTTAGGTCATTCAGTATTCGACCTCAGTGGCAGGTCACTCGGTGTTCGACCTCAGTGGCAGGTCTTTCTGTTTTCGACCTCAGTGGTCATTCGGTTTTCAACCTTAGAGGCAGGTTATTCGGTTTTCTACCTCATTGTCAGGTCATTCAGTTTTCGACCTCAGTGGTCATTCGATGGTCATTTGGGTCCCGGTGCTCATTTGGAGGTTTGGTGACTATTTGGTGATCGAGAATTCATTCAAGTTATAACCTCAGTGGCAAGTTGACAGAAACAGCAGATGACACATTTCACTTTTGGATCGAATTATGCTCACTCGACCAGAGTGGGGAGGACTAGATGATATGGGACATAATATTAGGCTGACTTTAATACCAGGCCGACTTTAATGGATAAGAATAAATATATTGGAGAAGAAGCCTACAAATGAGCTAGGACACATGACATCATGGTATTGGCTAAACTCAACTTGGGCACTAAGGTACACTCTCCCTATAAAAGGGGACTAAAGTATCACAATAACTCATTCTCTCTACATTCATTACTACACTCTCATTTTTTCACTCTTGATTTGGAACGAGTGCTAACTTAGGCATCAGAAGACCGACGCCGGGACCTTCCTCGACATTGAGTTCTTGTAGGTACGGAAACTGTCCGAGTTGAAGGAGCCCGGGTAAAATCCATTTCACTAACAGAGGGCTTCACGCCAAATAAAAGTATGTTTGCCATTTTTATCAAATGTCATATATTATATAAAATATATAAAAGTAGAATAGGAGAAAGTGAAAGAATAAGAATAAATTTGCCTTTGCATTTTTTAATCTCTCCAATATCTCAAATTCACACACTTTATTCAATTCAATTTTACCTTAACTTCACACATTATCACTATAGCTATATTTTCCTAATACATCACTATTATTCATTTTTGGCATGCAACTATTTAACGTGTAATTGCACGCCCCAATAGCATCCTCCACAGTCAAGAAGATCCATTCTTGGCCCATTCTTTCCAAAAACTTCGATTTGTTCAACTTTTTCATAACCTCCGCCCCTGGATTGGCCAATGCCAGCTGAAAAAATAAAACAATAATCCATTAAACAATTTCAACAATTATAAATACAATATTTTACAAGGACCAATTTGCAAAATATTGGCAAACCAAGCTTTTACCTTGAGCCCTCTCCGGTCGATGACCTTCATGACCTCGTCGAACATGCTAATCCCACTCGTGTCAATGTTTCCAACGGCTAATAAAACATATTAGAGAAATTATCAGTAAAATGTGTAGTTTAGGTTAATTAAAAAAATTGACCCATAAAGGTTCATCAATGCAGTTTTTGTACTTGGACTATGACTGATCAGGGGTGGATTTTGCAATTATATTTTACATATATGTTAGAGAGTACTAATTAGTAATTATCTCTAATTACTAACCAGTCATGTCTAGTATAATAAATTGCAATCCAGTCTCTCCACATGACTTTATTCTGTCTTCTTCATCATCAATCCACCTTGAAATTCTGCAATTAAACCAAAAAGAAAAAAAGAAAAAGAAAACTAATAAAACTAAATAAAAAGATACTAATATTAATAATAATGTTAATAAAGATATTGGTTGGTTGCTATAATATTTATATTACCTTTCTCTCAAATAGTTGGAATTGGCAAAATAAATTGGAGCATCTATTTCAAGAACTAGAACCCCAGGCACTGTAATTGCATTTTGATATTGATCAACACTTCTAAAAACATTAGAATCTGGAATATTCCCCAACACCAAAGTCCTTGGCCTAACAACAAATAGTAGCACCCTCAATATAGATAACCCAATCTGCAAAAATCAATCCAATCATTTATAAATACTCAATATTCATATATCATATTCAACTATTCATAATACAAATTCTTCTTTTNAGTTGCAATTGTTTGTGTGTGTGTATATATATAGAGAGAGAGAGATGGATATATCGGAGCAGAAGATAAAAAGTCGAAAGTTTGAATTTCTTTCGGTAAATAACAAGACCAATTTTTTTATTCAAAATGATTATTTATCGAGATGTGTGGATATAGATACTTACGGCCATGACCAAACCGACTTCAATGCTGGCAAAGACCACGCCGAAGTATGCACTCATGCACACGAGAAAGTCAAACTTGTCGACTTGCCACAAGTGAATGGCGGCCTCGTAATCTATGAGGCCGAGCATAGCTGCGATTATAATCGATGACAAAACGACGAGCGGTGTGTAATGAAACAACGGGGTCAAAACTAACAAAGTTATCATAACTGCAATTGCCATCACCATATTCGAGACTGCAGTTTTGCATCCAGCGTTGAAGTTGACCGCTGATCGCGAAAATGGACCTAAAATTATAAAAAATAATTTTTTTAAAAAAAATATATATTAGCCAACATATTTTGTACCTTACAATTACATGTAATTATATGGATAAAAATTTACTAGGTCTATGCCAATCATTAGTGGGCCTTCAGCAGGAGAAGGCACAACTTTTGGGTTTAAACAAATTGGGCGAGGCCCATTAATACCTGTTGTGAGGTAGCAAGAAGAACAGGATCCCACAATGTTCATCATCCCAATAGCGATCATCTCTTTGTTGCCATCAATATTGTAATTCTTGAACATGGCAAAACTTCGGCCCACGGCTATTCCTTCCTGTCAAGTTAATTTAAGAATAACATTTATTATTTAAATTTCGAGCTCATTTTTAAGGTATGGGCTTTATTAGACTTTAAACAACTAAATCATTATCTATTAATTTACCAATTAATATGGTTATTGTTGTTAGTTTTACTTGCATAATATTTGGTCTCTACACAAAATTCATTCCTTGTCAAGTTTACTAGTTTAGCCTGTTTTTAGTGCCTCCTATGTAAAGTTTCTATATTATGAACTGACTTAAATTTATTTTTCTTAGAATATGATATTTTAAATATGATAATTATTAGAAAAATAATAAAATAAATTTATTGTTGGGTCTGTGGAACAATAGTCCTACTCTGCGCATTAAATAATCCCTTTTATTTGGGAACCTTAATTAACTTTTTAGATTTATCAAATAAAATAATATTATTTAATGTGCACTCAGGAAAAGTAATCATTTCTTTTTATACTTTCCAAATAATGAAGTTTCCATACAATAGAGGAAAAGTAAATGAACAATATTGATTTTGTGTGATGATAGGAATGAAGTATCATATCTCATAGTATATAAATTAAATATAGTAATTAGATTGAATTATATCTTCACCGTATAAGAACAAACTAGAGAAATTAAATTTAGTAAAAAACTTACAGCTAGAGAAATAATGCCCGTGACTATGCCAGTTTTGATAGCCGTTGTCAGGTACCTCGAATCAAAGTTGAGGTGCATTATTGATGCTGGATTTATCCCCTTCTTCAAATGTCCTATCTGAAAATTATTAAATATATAAATAAGTAAAAAATATATTAGAAAAAAATAGAAAGGAAAAAATATATTAATTGCATAAAGTTAGTAATTTCATGTAATTAATTGTGTTTTCTAGCACGTACTAATATAGAAATATAGTTAATTTTATTGAACGAATGACTGACGTGTGTACTTGATAATGTCATATTTGTACAATTCTTGTTTATTAAATGAAATAAAACATGAAATCTGAAATTAGTGAACCCAAATATAATTAATAAGATTAAAATCACTATCATGAAAATGACAAANAAAGATAAAGGCGAAGACATTTGAAGTGGTGCATTGCCTAACACTAAAAATCAAACTTCCCTAGAGAAAATAAAGGAAAAGAAAAAAGTCCCACATTTTGGGCTATGATTAAGACGATTATGGGGCTCACCACTTGGACTCCATGTTTCTCAGCATGGGTGAGATACACCAGAACACTACCCAAAATCACAGATGTTAATGGAGCTATGGCTGATATCCAGAATAGCCTTGGCTTCTTTTTGCTCTGCAATATTACAAAATTAATTAATTAAGCTAAGTTACCAGTTAACTAGTACGTGGCCCGTGCGATGCACGGGAAAATAATATTTTGATTGTATTATTATAAATTAAATAAATAAATAACATTAATCATGATTTACCCATTATTTATAAATTAAACTGGGTTGGACACAGTCCGACCGCATGGACCGAAAACCGGTTTATAACCGATTTAGTGCGCTTGAATAAAATATTTACTATCAAATCCGCCAACACCAGTATGTTGGACTGGTAAGATCGATACGATTTTCTAAACAAATTTTGTTACAGGAAAAATTATTGTAAATAAAATTACATATTTAAATAAAATAAAGATTTATAAATTGTTTATCAATTAGTTTAAACATTTGAATTTATAAATTATTTAGATATTTAAGTAACACTTTTTATTTAAATATATATATATATATATATATTAAAGTATTATGTAATAAAATCTGAACAACCACAAGACGGTCCGATTCTGAAAACCTTATATTTACCGTACATTAATAAAAATGATAATGAAATAAATATTTTGTTCACATAAATAATAATAAAATGATATATAAATATTCATAAATCATTATTCATGTTGTCATAAAAGTATTGTTAATATATGATTATTTGAAGTTTGGACTACATCACATTCATGTAATAAAGTACTTTTAATATTAAAATTTATATTTAGGTTCAATAATCAATTTGGTCTGGTCAAACTGATACATAACTTAGTTACACCGGACCAACCAAGTTGTATCAAGTTTTTTGACTATTTTAAATATCACCTAAAAATAATTTAATCTAAGTGGGCAGTACCCTAATTCAATCACCCGATTGATCCAAAGTAATTTTCTTATTTTCTTTAAATATAATATTTAATTTTATGAAATAAAAATATTATATGATTCATATGTCTACACCAAATGATAGTATATTAAGATTATAAATTATATATCTAAAGATGAACTATTTATTTTTATTTTATGCATATTAATAAAAAATAAACATAGTAATTTAAAAAAAAATTAAGATTAATTAATTGAGTATGCAATTTAAAAAATATTTTTAGCGTTCAATATATATATATATATATATATATATTTAACATGATTGAATTTTTGGATTAGAATATATATATTTAAAATAATTTTATTACTAAAAGTCAAAAAGAAAAGATGCCATAAAGATTACAACTTTGAAAAGTTTGTAACCATTAATTTAGGAACCCTCCGATTTTAAATGATTTATAATTTTTGAAACATGATACGTGCATTTAAAACCCATTAATTTAGGAACCATCCAATTTTTTGATAATGAATTAAAATTAAAATGTAAAATGTAAAAGTTGCTGAAAATAGTATATAATAAATGTGGTTGACTTTTCTTTACTACTATTTATGGTAAATATTAATTCTTATTATATATATATATAGATTAGAGGTCAAATGGGATCATAATTGATTGATTTTATCATTTCTTGCAAGTGGAAAAGGTTTTATCATAACACATGACTAGCAAGTAGCAAACAAAATGTCATAATAATGTGAGACAAAAAATAATTGAATAAATAATGATTGAAGATTTTCTGATTATTATTATATTTAGACTAATTATTTACTTACAAAGTATCTTGAAATGAGGAGGTAGAAAAGGAAAACACATCCCAGCACAGCACTCTCCCATCTCCACTGCAAATTAGAAATTACAATTAGCAAACTCACTTTGAGAAAAAACAATCAATTACAACATTTTTTTATGTTAAAATAAATTGGGTATGGATGCAATTAATTAATTACAAAAATAAAAAAATGGGATCACCAGGGATAATTAAATTAAAATTGAAAAGTTCTAGTAAGTATTGACTCAATGTGTGACATCAAAGACGATTTAAGTTCCAAATTCTAAAATTATGATATCGACATGGATCAAAGTGATTATTTTGGACCACTTTGAGGAATTTTTGTTTGTCAAATTCCAAATCATTGCATATGGTGTCGGGGTAGTTGAGAGGGGTAAAAATGATAATTTCTCTTTCGAGCTTACACATGATCGGAAAATTCGATTTTATACATGTGTTGATATAATAATAAATAAATCCATCGAAAGTACAATTCTCGTCGACATGTATAAATTTTCCGAATCGAAAAAGTGAGACAAAGATAGATATTTGAATAGATTATTTATGACAATTTGCAACCTCAATAAATTCTTCTCCATATATGTTACACTTATCAAAAGATCAATTAATAGACTATTATTAAGTCATGTAACTATATTCATTAATTAATTAAATTTTTGTCTCATAGAAAAGTTGCAATCGATAATTTAGTTAGAATTAAAATCAATTAATTGACTATAAAGACAGATAACTATATTCATCAATTAAAATTTTGTCTTATACAAAAGTTGGAAACAATTTAGTTAGCATTTTTTTTTAGAGTTGGTACTACTAATCACTATTGCCATATGCATTTGCATATATTTTTTTTTGTTATTCTTTAATCCATGCAAATCACCCAATAATAAGAATTAATTATTTAATTAATCAAACTAGAGCGAGGTTAATCATTAAGAGTGAATTGAATGTGAAATTACCTTATGGGTTTGAGAAAAGACGGAGCGCAAGACAGAAATAGCATCGGTGGCATGGGTAAAATGGTCAAGTCCTAATATGCCCTTGAGCTGCTGCAGGCTCACCACCGTGGCTGCACCACCCATGAACCCTACTATGGTTGGGTGCGACAAAAAATCCACTATGAACCCTAGCCTATATAAATTAATTACAAATTATTATAAAATTATAGTCCTTAATTATCAGAACCGACCAAAAATCGATCAATCGAATCGGTTTGGCCCTGTCTTTTTGAAGTTGAATTTTAATATAATTAAATATATTTTAAATATAAATATATATATTTAAATATAATATATATATAAGTTATTATTAATTAGTTTAGTATTTAAATATTTTAAGTTGACCAAATATTTAATAACAAAAATTTTATATATAATAAATATATAAATATATTAATAAATTAAACATCAGTCCATCTAATTCACCACTGATCAAACTAGCAAACAGTTGAATCAGAGTCAGTAGCTTGACCAATTTATGACTGGCCAATTTTAAGAATATAATCAGCGGAGTTTCAAACAATGGTAAAAAAATAAATAAAGTGCCTGGATTTCAGTTAAATGAAGATACACACTAAACAAAATAATTAACGTAGATGGTTTGACATTTTTACCCATACTAAAAAAATTACGGTTCAACGGTTAAAAAGGTAGCAAAATCACTATTTCCCTTTATAGAGCTTTCGAATGTCCCTAATACCTATATTGTAAAAAAATTGCCGACACGTCTAAAAAGGCAAAAACGTAATTAAAAAAAAATGAAAATATATAAAAAACTAATAATCTACAT